GGCCAAAAACGATCGAAGTTGTGGTAAATCCTCAGGTGCAGGCATCCGTTGGATGGCACGAATATTTTCTGGATCTGGATGGCGACCTCTGGCGTCAAAGACGAATCCAAGGTACTTGATGGACTCAAGGAAGAATTGACACTTGTTGACCTGCAAATGGAAGCCATATTCCTGCAAGTGGTCAAGTACTGCGCACACTCGGTCTTGGAGCTCGGCCGGCGAGCGACCCATGATGATGTTGTCGTCCAGGTACCTAGCCGTGCCAGGAATGCCGGTGAGCATTGCGTTCATAGCTTGCTGGAACGGGGCCGGAGCGGTCTTGACACCAAAGAGCAGCCTGGTGTACTGGAACTGACCGCGGTGTGTGTTTATTGTGAGTATCAGCCAGATCCAAATTGGCAAAGCAAGTGCCACTATTTAGCAGGGTGAACAGATCAACGGGGACCAGCAGTGGATAGCAGTTCGGCGTTAGAACGGCGTTGAGACCAACGGGACAATCGGCGCAGATACGAACCATTCGGCTTCTTGACCACAACAATAGGAGCAGCCCAGGTGGAGTAGGACACAAGTGTCAGGACTCCAAGTTCCTCTAGGTGCTTCAATTCAGCATCGACAAGAGGCAGGGCTGCATATGGAACTGATCTCATTGGGTGGATGACTGGTTGACTTCCAGGACAGAAATGAATCACGGCCTGCGTGTGCGTGCAACGACCAAGGCCATCTTGGAACACTGAAGCAAACCGCTGGAGAATGTCTTTGGTGGGGTTGGCAGGTGCAACAGGAATCTGCACTTGACTGATAACAGGGCGGAGCGGCCAATCAACCAAGCCAAGTTGATCAATCCAGTCGAGACCAAGGAGATTGAGATAAGACTTGGTAAGATAGAAGATAGCAGTGATGTTAGTGTCGCGGAAGGAGACACAGCATTGCAGTTGCCCAATTAACTGGACAAGGCCACCGCACGCACTTGTGGCGGACAGAGAAGTCTGCTGTATTGTGGGGGGCGCCAAATGACTGCTAGAGAGTCTCAGAGATGATTGTGCTATCTGAAGCGGTGTCCGTTTGTAGGCGAACTGTGTGGCCGTTCAGAAGTAGATTAACTAATTTCCAGCGATCAGCTGCGTTAACCTGGAATCTGGCCGACAGACGCAGAGAACAGCCGAGCGTCTGAGCCTTTTACCTGC